AGAAGTTACTTTAGGACTTCAGAATCTATTACCAATTTATCCATAAGCAGGGTGCACATAATTAAGTTCATCATGGAAAGGTGCATGGTCATCCTTTCAACAATGGCTGTATTGCATTGTGAGCTGGGCCAGATGACAGATGAGAGAGGTAGTAGCCTTGAAATTTGCAGTAACTCAGTGTAACATTTCACTTGGCTTTCATACCCAAAGAAAACCTGGGAAAGACCTAAGATTTTTGGTGTTCTAAACAGAACAGAAAACATACAATAATGTTTTTGATATCTAGTTCTCTAGGTTCAGACTAAAAGGGATCAGTAAGGCCCTTAGATCTGTAGATGATAATAATTACAGCAGGACCTAAGATTTTTGGTGTTCTAAACAGAACAGAAAACATACAATAATGTTTTTGATATCTAGTTCTCCAGGTTCAGACTAAAAGGGATCAGTAAGGCCCTTAGATCTGTAGATGATAATAATTACAGCAGTAACAACACGACTAACACTTATCTAGAGCCAGCAGTGTGCCAGGTGCTCTATGCATATTATCTCATTTAGTCCTAGTAACAACCTGCAGTTTAGATTCTATTAGGATAAGACATATACGCAATGTCACATACTAGTACGAGGTGTAAAGACTTAAATGCCCGGCTCCCTGTCTCCAAAGCCCGTGTTCATCACCATTACACTGTGTACTCCCTGCTTCATCTTACATTTAACAAAATTAATACTTACAGAGGCAAATTGGCTTAATTAGGATCTCCCAGAGAGTTTACAGCAAAGCCAGACTGGAAATTAGGCCTTGAAATTCCCTTGTTATGGGTATTTCTCAATATGTTGTACTGCTTCAATTTATTGAAGTCCCCCTCCCCAAATGTTTTGAATAAAAGATAATATTATTGACTAATTTTAACACCAGATCTCAATAATTTACCTGATTATGTTGTAATTTAATATAAGCATTATATTCATCTTATAATGTTTCTTGATCAGTAGGCATTGTGCTATATTCTAAAAACATAATAGTAAGATAATCATTGGCACTGATCCACCAACTTTATTTATTAATTCAGTAAATGTGTACTGAGTCCTATGTACCAGAATCTATAGTATTTACCAGTCAAATAATATTTTGAGCTCCATCATTTATTGATTCATATAATGCATGTTTTTAGACTACTTATTAATTGCAAGTTACTGTGCTAGGCATAGGAAATACGATGATAAAAAGACATAGTCCCAGACCTCAAAGAGTTTATGATCTATATGCAGAGGCAAGCAAGTAAATAGGCAATTAAGTATATTATAACACATGCTATGACAGTATAGGGTGTTATGGGAGTAGATAAAAAGGGCACCCAGCGTGAGTCAATCTAAGCTAAAAGACAGTGGATGCTACGAGGGAAAAGAAAGTAGGAAGATCATTCTAGGCAAAAGGAATCATATTTCAGAATTTACAATTGAACTATAAGAAGTAGTGAAAAATAATCATTCATTTCTTTATTTATTATTCATTCACTTACCAAGTTTTATTGAAAAGAATAACACTAGATTTTTTTCCTCAGCCTATTATCACTTACCTAGAATATTCAATACATTTTGACTTATGAATAAATGAATGACAGTTATCACATACTGTACTGAACGCCTGTTCTGCAGCTCACTGGTCTATCTCTTTTGAGAGATAACACCGACAATATCCATTTCTATCTTTTCTTTTCTTGATAAAGTATTGATAAGCAATGAAGAACTTGAATCCACAAATTGACACCAAGGTTGTATGCACCCTTGAGGCTGACTCACAAAATTGCATTTAACTCAAGTCTCATTATTTAAGATAATGGGAGTGGGAGAACACTAGAATTGTGCTGTCCAATATGGAAACCACTAACCATGCTTATTTAAATTTAAATTTATACTAAGTATAAATTTATATTTATATATTAATATATTATGTAAAATATATTAAATATATTTATATTTATATTGACATTAAACAAATTAAAAATTCAGTTCCTTGGTCACAGTAGCCACATTTTAAGTGCTCCATAGCCTTATGCTACCATATTCAACAGTACAGAGGAATATTTTCATAATTACAGAAAGTTCTATTAGACAGTTCTACTCTAGAATCTAGATTATAAATTTTACTAAACTATTGATAATTATCTCAGGATGGTGTTGGAAAATAATTGCTCAATAAAAAGTTATCGATATTTTAAAATTTAGCCTTATACTCTTTTAATGGTAAAGTTTCATTGGTGAAAGTAGAAATCAACATTTACATAAGTCACTGAACATGTTTTCGTAGCAATCAAGATAAAAATTTGATTAATGGGCTGATAGTCTCCTTCCTGAATCTGTACTACCAGAAAATTTCCTATCTGTTACTACAGCACGGCCACTTAGGCAAGACTGACAAAATAATCTCAAAGGTGACAAAGTTGAATTCTGTGGCACCTCATGTTGCATTGCCCACCTTCTGGCAGAGGTGCTAATGAGTAGTATCACTGCCAAGAGCGTGTAAAGCAAAGGGGAGAAGGAGATGCTAAGGCTTTACAGAATGTACTTTGAATAATGAAGAATTAAATATCATTCATCTTAAATTAATTTTCCACACACAGTGCCAAGAAGCAAACAAGTAACTCTATACATCTGATATCAGTATCTAAAAACAGAATGTACTTTGAATAATGAAGAATTAAATATCATTCATCTTAAATTGATCTTCCACACACAGTGCCAAGAAGCAAACAAGTAACTCTATACATCTGATATCAGTATCTAAAAGAGTTCCAAAGGAGGATGACTGACACCTGCATCTGAGTTTAACTAATATGAATAGGCTCTCCCCACCCATCAGGATATGTATAATTAATTTTAAATGTGTTCACTACACTGGTTTGTGTGCTGATAGCTGCACCACCTCAACAATATTCAAATGTTCATAAGGTAAAAAAATAGAGTACAATTAGAAGATCACTGATCATTAAGCATCAGTTTATTAGTTTGCTTATTGATTTGACTCATTTCAGAAAGAATTAAAAATAGCAGAGAGTAATCAATGAAAGGAATCTAACATGGCTAAATTTTTGTGACACAGAAGACACATTTGATAAGTAAAACACAATTTAAACAAGTGAGTGTATATATTTACCTCTCAAATTAGTAAAATCTTTTATAAAAGACCCCTTAATTCTGTTGCAGATATAAGATGACCCTTTCACACATTTTCTATTGAAAGTATAATTTAGTACAACTGTTAGGAAAATAGTGTATCAGTATATATAAAAGTCTTTAAAGTATATGCCCTTTGACATATTATTCTTACCCCTCAAATATCGCAAATGAATAATCTATGAAATAGGAAAACTTATATGGATAAATGTATTCTTCGAAATGTTTACACCAAAATTTAGTGCATCCTAAAAATGGGAAATGATTAAGTTAATCACACTAAATTCAGAGTCATTAAAAATATATTAAAATAGAGTTTTAATAACATGGGGAAATGTTTAACTGCTTAAATTAATGCTTTCATTTAGGGGAAAAAAGAATTACATAACATATATAAACATAAGCTCAATGATATAAAGACTATATAAGAAATACTCATAATATTTTAACAATGGTTCCCTCTGAAGTATAACTTAATTTTCTAATTCTCTTAATTTTCTAAACTTCTAGAAAGAACAAGTGTTAATTTTACAATTGGCAAAATTAGGTAGTAATTCATAAAGCAAAATATTAAGTTACATTGCATATAATTTCATTAGATCTACTGGAAAAAAATGGATGCACAGAATTTAAGGAGAGCAAATTCTAGTAGGAGAGAAGTAGTGGTAGTGGGTTATATCTCAAAAGTCATTAAGATATGGACAGATGCTTACACCACAGTCTAGAAAACAGGAAGCAGCAATGTCTTGGAACTTAATCCTCCCACTGATGCAGAGCAATTTTTCTGAGGAATAAATAGAGCATCATGTGTTGTTTACAAAGTGTTTTCATTGTAATGTGCTGAAAAGAGCATGAACTCTAGAACAAAAGGCTACACCAACTATTAGTTACATATAAAATGTTTATAAATTAAAAACTAGGTACACATACATACACACACACACACACCAATACCTTCCTTGCATGGTTGTTGCAAGGATTGAAGCATTTATGTAAGTATCTACCAAAATGCCTGATACTAAATGTGTTCAATAAAAATAGCTATAAACTTGGTCTCTAAGGGGGCGTAAAAATCATTGGTTGTGGAACAAAAAAATATTTAGCGATCAGAATTTTACAATGAAGTCCCAAGAATCACAAATACAGTGATGCAGAATTTTAGGTGAGCAATATTCAGAAGTCCATGCAGGCAGGCCACACTAGAGAATTCAATCAATGAACAATAGCTAAAATAATGGATTTGAAGTGGCTAACACAGTTTAACAGATAATAACTACTTTATTAACATTAAAAATTAAATTTCCAACATCCTTGTAAACTGTAATAGGATTTAAGTTTTTAAAAAATCTATTTTGCCCAAGTGATACAGGTGTTTTCAGAAATGCAAAGTTCAGTGGTATCCTATGTCTTGCTATACAAAATATAAATTCTTTATGCTGGGATTGAAGACGTACAGTCTGGTCCAATCTGCCTTTCAATCTTTACTTCCTATAACATCATGTACATACCCTGTACTTCAGACACACTAAACTATTGCTCCTTCATGCTCCTTTGTATGTTCCATTACTCCATTAATTCCCTCTGCTGACTATTTGTTGAATCAACAACCAAATAGATGAACAATTATAAAAATAAACTTAGAATATAAAATTATCCACTATTTTTGTTTAAATCATTGGGGGGGGAAGTCTAGGGTCTCTTTGAATCTCTGCATCTCTGCTGATGTTGCACAGATTGATTGTTGACAAAAAAAATTTTTGTCTGTTCATGTGTTTCTTGAAATAAATATGTGAATATCAGAACTGACATGACCTTTGGGTTTGCAGCGGCCGCGGCAGCAGACATGGCTTACCATCACATCAGACCTCCCATCGGCTATTCCATTCCCAAACCCATATCATCTCTGCTGATGCGAGGGTGGAATGCATGTCCTGAAGTGAGTAATTTTTACTTCCTCTTAGAAAATGTGTTATGGTCAAAATCTGTCACAAATAGTGTGACTCCGAAGACTTCTTCCAATGTGTATTTTAAGACTGTCAAGGCGGGAAGACTAATTTGCCTTCTGCTCTTTAGTCTCTAATTGCCTCAAGAAGTCTGAGTATCTCATATTTCTTTGGGGCTGCTCTCTGATTTTGAAATGTTTTTCACAACTGATTAGTAAAAGAGAGACCAGGATATGACAGATGACTCACAGTCTCATCTCAGCTGCAATTTTATTAACTACACTTGAGCCACACTTTGTCATTTTCTGAAGAAAAAAATTTGGCACAAGATGGATTTATGTTGGCTTTTAACCATGAGGCAGGCCTTCAGGAAAAGCCCACAGTGCCAGGGGTCCTAGTCTTTCTCTTACTCTCTATGACTGTCTGATAATGTGGTTAACAGCAAGGACTTAGAGTTCAAATGGTGGAAACAATGTTATGGAAGGAATAAATAAAGTAGGATATATAAACAGTGAAAGAAAAATTTAAATACAGTCATAGATCTAACAGAGTAGGGGGGAAACAGTCATACAATACAAGGATGAAATCTCAGACCATGTGTTTTCAAGAAAGGATTCTTCTTAATTTTGCTAGACATTGATGTCCACTTTGTTCACACAGACTAACAGAGGAGATTCCACAACTTCTCTTCTTGTAACACAGTTCAGTCCAGTGTCTAAGAATCCATCTGCTAGCATATTTTGTTGTGCATTGAAATCCTCGTGTCCTGATGACAGTCCATTGATTCTTCTGCTCTAAGTGGAGGGTATTAGTTTGCGTTCTTTCTCCCGGAGATCCTCATATATAAAAGCCTAACTGCTTCTGTTTGTCCAGTCCAAACCATTTTAGTTACTGTTGTCCTTTTCTTACACAGCCTCATTTGTGATCCTTCCTAGCCAGTTTATCTATCTTCAACAAGACAGCAGAAAGTGTGGCTATTATTTCTTATATCTCACCAAAGGAGAAACAGAATAAGTCCCAGTCCAGATGTTTGGAAGAAGAAAGCAAATTTCTCATTCTTTTTCTAAAGGCAAAACCCAAACCAAGTCATTAGCCAATCCCACCTGTACACATAGAAACTCTTACAAAGAAAAATGAAAATTCTTATGGGATATGGATTGAGTATCTCAGAAGATAACCTCTTGATCATTCAATCTGATATATTTTGTTTAAAATCTTCTTTCACTACCAGAATGTTAGCTCCATAAAAACAGGGATTTTTTTATTTGTTTGTTCTGCTCTGTTTGCTGCTATAATACCAGAACCTAAAACCATGCCTAGTAGATGCTCAAAAATATTTGTGGAGTAAATGAATGAATACCACTATTGCTTGTCAGTGCCTCCAATCCTTTCTAGACTTTAACATCCAGAAAATTTTGTCTGGAATACTATGTGACTTAAAATCTTTTGGGAAAATCTTTCCTTGTCTTTCAATATGAACCTCAGACAAATTCTCTGAGAATAAGTATGTCAAGCACCTAATGCAGAAATTCCTTCTCTCTGTGGGATGCGACCTGGGCCAGTGTTTAACATAAAATAACACTTGAGGGAATCCCTTTGCTTTTATTAACTGACTCTTCATGATTAAAGATAAAGAACATGTGGAAGTTTTAATTTATACACAAAAGCAAGCCACTGACAGGTTTGAAGAGCATTTTTGGAGTAGAATGGGTGCCTCAAACAAAGGGTTGGGAAATGAGAAAGGGAAACTAAAATAGGGGCAAAGCAGGGCACTATTAAAGAGGAAAAAAAATACAAAGAGGTCAAAAATCGGTTGCTTAGTGGAAAAGTTTTACTGCAGAACTGAAGTTTATCAGCCAAAAGTCCTAGGTCTGGTGATGAGATTCAGGGAGGAAGATGGAAAAAAATATATATTAGGAAAGCAGACTCTCCAACTGGCCAGAAATCTCCAGGCTTATCAGTATAGCTGCGCCCCTACTTGGCTTTGGTGTACTAATTATGAACTTGAGCTATCTCTGTATGTGGCATTAGTTGCCATTGCCCAGTAAGGTCTTCACCATGTCAATTGGCTGAGTGATGAGGAAAAAGGGAACAATTGGCTAATTTTCATTCTTTTCTTCAACAATTATTTATTGAGTTCCTGCTGTATACTGCCCAGAGATAGGGGCTGGGGATTTGATGTCCATGTGGTCTCAATGGAGCTTAAAGCCTAGTAGTCATATGGAGACTAATTGAATAAACACTTTAATTATTCTATAGTTACACTTCAGGATTAAGGAAGACAGCATTCTATGAGAATGCATACTAAATGAGAATTTGCAAGTTGGGGGACAAAGAGATAGTGTAGGTTAATGAAGCCTTCCCAGAAAAAGTGGGACTAAAGCTGAGATCGTAAGCATAGATACCAGTTTGCTGAATTGAAGGGCTGGTGTGAGAGAAAAACAGTCCAAGCTAAGAGAACATGTGCAAAATCACTGGGAGAAAAGACACGAGGGAGAGACTTATCAGTCCTTGGAACATTGTAGTTACTGAGGGTTTAAATTTCTATACCAGCCATCATTTGAAGCAAGTTCATCTTCAGATCCAAGACACTCACATCACGCTATCCTGTCTTTACTTTCTAGATTATCAGCTTCATTAATTTTTTCTTTCTTTCATGTACATCTTTACATCACTCCTTAAATTTTTTTTTTTTTTTGTCTTTTGTCTTTTTCCGTGTCCGGCAACGGATCGCAACCCTCAGTGTTGCCCCCGTACTGGACCGGGGACCGGCAACGGGATCGCAACCCTCGGTGTTGCTCCCGCGCCTCGCTCAGCCAGTGAGCGGGAACCGGTCTGTATGTGGGATCCGAACCCTCGGGCGGGAGCGCCGCCGCGCTTCCCAAGCAGCGCACTATCCAGTGCGCCACCGGGCCGGCCCGTCACTCCTTAAATTTGAAGTGCAATATTTTCTCCCACGTGTGTCTTCTTAGTCGAGATTTATTAAGATAGATAGATGACAGTCAGAACACCAAACTACTAGAGATGGGAGAAGGTTATTAGAAAACAGTGAGAAGTTAAAAAAAAGTCCTGATAGTTAGATGGTATCAGATTTTGGAAAGTCTTGGAAACCAGAATAGGGAATTTGGATATGAAATTATAGACAATTATGTTTTTGTCTCTAAAGCAGTGAAATGATATTTTTAAAAAGTAATTTTTGGAAAATTCATTTGAGTTCGACATGGTTTATTCACTTACACAAAACATTGCATATAGTTCCTATAGTGAGACAAGCACTTAATTATCTTCTAGTGTTCATTGGAATAGCTAAGCATTTTTTCTTAACATGTGGGCTGGCTGCCAACCACGACTCTAGGTTACTCTGAATTGTTTGCTAAAACAAAGATTTTGGGGCCCTAATCCTAAATCAACTGAATGAAAATCTCTGGGATGCAGCCTGAGACTATGCATTTTAACAAGCACCCCAGGTGATTTGTGCCCCATAAAGATGGAGAGCTAGTGGGTTGAAACTGAAGCAAAAGACACTAAGTCTGGGCAGCCGGCTGGTCTGCTGTTACAGTAATCCAATTGATTACAACACAGACTACAATGGTTACCATGGGGATTCAAGGGCAAAGGTAAACCTGAGGACTATTTCAAAGGAAACATCATACGGAGGTAAAAGACTGGATTTCAGAAATGGAAGAGAGGAAAGAGTCCAGCAGAACTGTCATTGCTGCCTTCTGAGAGTCAGCTAGTGACCAAGAGTACTTGTCAGGCCCTTAGATATCAGGGATAATGTTGGCAGTGAGTGGAGAGAGAACAAAGCTAAGGGCTCTGCAAGTGAGGTGACAGTGCTTTAAAAAAATAGGAAAAGGAAAAGGAAAGATAGCTACTGAGAAGAAAGTAACGTGGTCTACAAAGCTGACAGAGCTGTCAATTAGAACAGAGTAAACTTATCATGCAAGCAGTTGGCATAGGTGCTCTTCTCACCTTAAAGGTGCTTAACAACATGAAGTGGGATCAGGGGAGGCAAACAGACGGTGTAGGAATTAAGCTCAAACAGAGAGGCCAGACAAAAATAGAGCGGGCAGGAGTTGGACTTAAAACAGTATTGAATGTTGGTGAGAAAAGAGAAAGAAGAGAGGTAATAAGGTTAGGGACTTTCAAAATAAGAAAGTTATTTGCGGACAATTCTGGATAGGAAGGGAAGCAGAAGATAGGTGGGGCATGTAGGCAATATTTGCATTGTTGTAATAATCTTTTAACCTTTATAATAACACCAAATGTAGATATAAAGATACAGAGACCTAGACAGATACAGAGATAGAAGAAGAGAAAGTTTGTTTCCTTTTTAACCTTTTTTCCCCCACTAAGAAATGTAAAATATTATATTCCATACTATAAAGGTATGCTTTAACCATTTTACTGGGGTAACAACAATAAAATTATTTGTGTATGCCTACATTTTTCAAATAAGTGTGGCTTCGAATGAAAGATCTGTATTCTGCTCTTGCTTTAAAATCTAATATTTATAAGCACATTTAATTCCTATGCACAAGGAGGAATACTCACACCAAACAATAGAGGCATGCTAAACTCAAGAGATCAAACCTTGAAAGCTACATGGTAATGGGTTATTCAGTTTTCAAAATCTTAAATTAATAACAATTGGCAATAAAGCTCATTAAAATTCCTTTTGTTCAGGATCCACTGTGTTGATCTTGAAGCCGTTTGTTCCTAAAATGACTGAAGCTGAGATCTCCACCTAGTGGATTTATAGGATTTTGCAGCTTTTACAGAAACAGCCTACTGTCCCTGGAAATCCTTTATTTTTTTTCCCTTAGAGAAATAACAGGTTTTAAAGACTTCTACTTGTTTGTTCCTAAAATGACTGAAGCTGAGATCTCCACCTAGTGGATTTATAGGATTTTGCAGCTTTTACAGAAACAGCCTACTATCCCTGGAAATCCTTTATTTTTTTTCCCTTAGAGAAATAACAGGTTTTAAAGAC